AGGCGAAGACCGCAATCCACGCCGACGCCAGGGTGGCCAGCATGCGCCTGCTCGCGGCCCCCAGGCGAGCCGCCGTGAGGCTCAGCGCCGAGAGGGCGAGGCGGCGGTCCAGCGGGGCCCCCACGGTGACAAACCCCCGCTGAGCCTGCCCCGGCCTGCCATCTTTATCGGCACCCACCAGGGTCGCCAACGGCTCCTGATCCACCACTTTCGAAGTCGACTCGAGCAGCCCCGCTCGGGCACAGGTCTGGCGGGCGGCGGCCAGCAGGGCCACGCCCGCCCCAGCTTCATGACGCGCGCGTCTAAGGGGAACTCGCTCCACCGCGACGCAACCGTCGACGCAGAGCCCCATGCACCACGGACCCCTCGGGGACGGGCTCCATCCCGCGGATCGTCTCCGAGTCGGCGAGGCAGCCTCCTCGGCGGAGGAGCTCGCCGTGGGCCCCCTGAGCCAAGTCTACCGCCGCATGGTCGCCCACGGGGAGGACGGCGAAGCACCCTCGGGCGCGCGATGCTGGGCCGAGCGGGCGGCGCCACCGCGCGCTGCCAGGCCCCTGTCCGCCGCCTCGGGCGGCGGCGCCCCCCCGTCCTCCAGCGCCCTCACGGGGTCGGGCGGGAAGTCCGCGGAGGCCCGCAACTCGCGGGCAAGGCCGCAGACGTCGGTCGACGCCCGCGCGTCACCGACGGCAAACTGGCGGTCGAAGTCCTTCCGATCCAGCGCCGACGCCCGCAACGTGGTCGACCCCCTCGCCATGCGAAGGTCGACCAGGCGCGGGCCCGTCGCGAGTCCCCCCCAAGGACCCTCGGCCAGCCGCCCTTCGAGCCAAGTCGGCCCTCTGCGGTCGAAGACCTGCCCGCCGCGGCCCGCGCCCTTGAAAACGTCGCCGACCTGGCTCACCGCACGGGCAAGGGCGCCCGCACGGGCGAGGCGCAGAAGGCCCGCGGCGCCCCACAGGCGCTGCAGCTGCAAGCCCGCCCCCGCCCTCACCAGATGCGCCTAGGGCCACCAGGTGCGCAGGCAGCAAAGCTCGACGAGGGGCAGCCACTGCTCGGGCGGCACGAAGTCCTGGGCGCCCCCATGAGCGAGGCCCTCGGACAACCTCACGCGCGAAGGGTCTAGCGGCCCAACCGCCGCGCTCGCAGGCCTGGAGCGGACAGCAGGTAGCGGCACCAGATGGCACGGGTCCAAGTCATGCAGGAGGTCACCGCTGGCCCCTGCCAGTTGGGCAATCTCCTCGGAGATTCCAAATCCCGTCCGGCCACATTGCAGGTCTGAAGGGACCGCAGCGCGGCCCCACGCACTGAGGAACAGCTCGGCCCGCTCGACGATTAGCCTCTGGCTGGGGGAGAGCTGTCTTCTGAGGCCCCGCTTGGAGGGGTAGCGCGGCCTGTCGTTGCGCATGAGGTTCACGGTCACCGCGATGACGCTGCGAGCACGGGCCCTAACCCCCCTGCCAGCACGCTCGGCGGCGCCCACGGCGAGATCCGGGGGCGCGTCGCTGCAGCCCCTGCCCGGTGTAGGGCAGCGGCAGTGGGCAGCGCGCGGTAGCGAGGCTCAGCCCAGCCTCGCGCTCGGCGCTGAGCGCGGCCCGCAGGCGCCGCGAAAAAGAACGGCCGACGCGGAGGACCATCCTGGCGAGCACCCTGCACCAGCCAAAAAGGGGTCGCCACTCCCCCTTGGCCTTTGGCCGCCTTGGGGGGCCTCGAGGCCGCCCGCCCCCCGCCTCGGCAGCCTGCTCTGCCCCCGACGCCTCCGCCGCCACGACCCGGGCGGCGCGCAACGGCGGCCGGCGGTTGGAAAGCACGTCGAACCCCACCATGTAGGCGAGGGCCACCGTCGCCCACCCGGGGTCGGCAAGGGCCGAGAAGTCGCGCAGCGGGGCCTGTTCGACCCCGCGACTGAGCACGGCGGGCGGGGGGTCCTCATGCAGGGTCAGCAGGCAGGCCGTGGTCCACCGCCCGCGGTCCAGCGCGGCCCTGCGCCACCATCGCCAGGGCTGCGACGTCCGTGGCCGGGTCGCACTCCCCGCGCATCAGGTGGTTCAGCGCGGCGGCCCGGCACGCCGCGGGTCGCCCTGCGAAGCTGTCGGCGAAGTCCCCGAATCGATCACAGCACTCCAGCGCATCGGGCAATCCCCCTGGAATGCTAAGGGGGCCCAAGCGTCTCGCCACGTTGCGGATCACCGACACCGAGAGCGCCCCAGGCTGCGTCTCCAGAAAGCTCTGGAGCCTGAACCTGTCGGCCGAGCCGCGCACGCCGACGGAGCTCGTCGAGGAGCGCGTCAGGTCGCCTAGAATGTCGGCGCCTGCCCCTCCCCCTGCGGACCCGACACGCCCCCGCTCGAGCCAGCGCCGTGAGTCCCCAATCAGCCTCACCAGCGCCTGGGCATGGAGCGGGAGGTGCGCCTGGGTGTCGTTCAGGCCCTCCGCGTCGACGTCGATCGGCACAGGAAGGGGCGGCTGCGGGGGCGCAGCGAGGGGCCCCGGCCCCCCCGGGCGCGTCGGCGCGGCCGCGGGAAGGCGCCTCACCACGGCCCCCACTGCAGCCTTCGCCTCCGCAGGGGGTTGCGCCAGGGCTGGCGCGCAGCCCGCAGGGGCGGCGGACCTGCGGGCGCCGCAGCGCCTGTCGGCTGCCTCTCGGGGAGAGGACACTGGGCCTCGGCGCCACGGGAAGCCCCCCCTCCGAAGCGGCGGAATAGCTGATTCGGGGCGCGAGCCCCGACGTCTGCAACCACTCCCCGGCTCTCTCCACCAGGGCCGTCGCCCCGGGCAGGGCCTCCGAAGCATCGACGCGCAGCACCTCCAGCTCCTCCTCCAAGAAGTCTGAATCCGCAAGGGACTGCAGCTGCTCCAGCACCTTCAGCGTGAAATGGACCAGGTAGATGTCGACCGCGGTCGGCGGATCCCCGTCGGCGTCGAGCGGTACGTCGTGAACCAGCACGGCCCCATCAGTGCCCGCGGGCCTGCCACGCGAGCTCGGTTAAACTGAGAAGGAGATATCATCGCTTTGGGAACCGCCATCATGAGGCCCTCGGCTCTCGCCATCACGGGAATGGCCTCGCAGTACATCGAACTAAGCTGGAGGCGCCATGGCTCCACCGCGCCCGAGGGGGCCAGCGTCAAATCGCCTATCTGCAGCGGGGGGGCTGCCACCAACATCCGTGATGAGCGAGGCAGGGAGGGAACCCAGCTCCATCGAGGTAGGCTTCGGCTTCCACGAGACTGGCAAACCCGCGGCCCACCGCGGCGGGCCGGGCCGCGCCGCCGTTGCTCTCGGCGAGGAGGGCCCGACAGTGGGCGCAGGCACTGCACGCATGAGCAACACCCAGCCGATGACGAGGGGCAGCCCGCAGCACCACGTAGAGTCGGTTCGCGGGCACGTTGAGCGCGACTTCGGCGAAAGGCGACTCGTCGTCGACCTCGCGGCGGCCGTCCAGGCGCCCCAGCCAGAAAGCCCGCCGCACCCTGGCGCTCGGCGGAGCGCGGGGCGGGGCGGACCACAGGCGGTGGGCTTGTCGCTGGATGCGCTCGGAGAGCTCCTCGAACGCGACGGGCACGCCCAACTCGTCCGACTCGGGCTCCTTGACCAGCTCCCACTTCTGCCCGTGCCATTGGCCCGGCAAGGGCAGCCGCATGAGGACGGGGTGCCTGTGCTCGTCGTACTCCACTTCAGGCTCGAGCTCGAAAAGGGCCAACGCCTCAAGGATGGCCTCGAGCGTGGCTTTGGGCATTCACAGCCCCACTCCGTTGGTGTACCCCTGGAGGCGACGTCGTGCGGCCGCGGCCGAGACGCGCGCCAGTACGGCGGCGGCGTCCCCCGCGGCGACCGCCGCCTCGGCGGCGGGGAATCGGCGGCGGGGAGCAGGGCTCGGGGCCCCGCGCGGGCAACCGCAAAGCCCGCGGCGAACCCACAGAGGCCGCAGCAGCCGGCGAGGCACACCACGACCAGGAATGTGAGCAGGATGGCGAGGCCGCCGATCAGCACCCACGCGTGGGGCTGGCTCGAGCCCCAGCAGTATGAGCTGGAGGCGGCCGAGACCGCGGAGCCAAAGGAGGGCGGCGATCGACCCCCAGAACGCCCAGTCCAGCATGAACGGGCGCGGGCCTGCGGGGCGGCAGCAGACTTGAGCCAAGACCCGACGCGAGAGGTGGCAGTCGACCCTATTATCAATGCATTCATGATGTAGTCCTTGCAGAACAGATGTACGTGGTATGATTTCGACATGTGCGCGCGCGGACTTCGTGCATTTGTTTGCAAGGGGTTACTGAAACACGATCGTTTGCGATGAACCAGTGTGCACACATAGTATGATTTGATTGGGATGGGGGAGGCGATAACCGGCGTGGCTGGAATGGTATGATTTCATATGGAAAACGACAGATGGGGCAAAATCATATTTTATCTGCTGTGCCCCAGGGGGGGCCGATAAGTCTGGGGGGCAGAGGATGGTAGAGTCTGTGCGGTGCACGCTATGGGGTGCGAGCTATATGGTGCAGCAGGCGCACGGGGTGCCCACGAGGCGCCCATGGGCGCTGACGGGCGGGCGCTGGGCGAAACCCCAGCAGACCCACTCAGCCCACGGGCGGCCGCTGGCAGGCCCCAGGCGAACCCAGGCCACACGCAGTCACCGCACAGGGCGCCCACGAGGCGACCACGGGCGGCCACCAACCGGGCACCGGGTGAAACCCTGACAGACCCATCCAAGTACTTGGGTAATGCAAGTAAGAGCCCTCAGTGCAAACACTGCTTTGGGAAAAACGTTACATCTAACAAGAAATGGTGCATGCATATCATAATCATCCATCTGTCCCTCTCATCTTCCCTCTCACTCGCTTTATCCCTCCATCCTACCCCCTGACCCCCATTCCTCATTCCCCCTCCTGCATCATGATCCTTCTCCTCCGTCCTCTTCCCGATCAGGACGATAACGACGACGACGACGACGACGACGACGACGACGACGACGACGACGACGACGACGACGACGACGGTGCCGCGCCTGGAGTCTCCCCGTAGCTCTGAACCTAGGGGTGCGGGTGTGAAGTGTCCCAGAATGGCACCACCCGCCTCTGCCCGGCTTGGAGCCGGAGCAGGAGGGGAGAGAGAAGAGCGGGAGGGAAGGAGGGAGGCGGGATGAGGGAGGAAGGAATGGGGGAGGGGGCAGGCTGTCTGCTCGCCGCGGAACTTGACTTATGCGTGCTCCGAAGGACCGAAGGACGGGAGAGGAGGGAGGGAAAGAAGGGAGGAAGGGAGGGTGGCAAGGCGGATGTCGAAGAGGGGGGGGCACGGCGGAGGTCAAGGCAGAGAGCGCGCGAGGCAGAGTCGGACGGTGGAAGGACTCGACGAGGAGCTGAGACGGGGCAAAAAAGGGTCAGGGCGAGGGTGGACGAGATGGAGCAGCGGCAGGCGCAGCAGGAGCGGGAGCCAGAGCAGGAGCCACGAGCCCCGAGTGGCAGCACGAGGGGAGCCCGAACCCCGCGCCGGGCACGGCCTGGCCGCCAGTGGCGACGACAACGACGACGACGACGACGACGACGACGACGACGACGACGACGACGACGACGACGACGACGACGACGAGTCGCCAACGCCCTCTTCTCGTCGCCGTCGCCGCTTCGCCGCCGTCCGTCGTCGCGACCGCGCTTTCGCTGCCGTCGTCGTTGTGCTCGTCGTCGTCGCGGTCGTCCTCGCCAGCGCCGTCGTCCGAGCCCCGCGCCAGGCCGGCCGTGGCGCTGTCCGCGCTCTGCGCCGACAGCGCCGCGGCGTCGGCGCCCATCTTCACGATCTGCTCGAGCTCCTGGAGGGGCGTTGCGCGAAGAGGCCAGCGACAAGGAATCGGAAGCAGGGCGCGAGCAAAACGGCGTTTTCATTTTGAGCACCGCCTGCGTCTAGAACAACGAAAACAAGGGAAAACTGCACCATCCCCCGAACAGCCACTGTCGTTCCAAACCGCCGCCTGCGAAGACGAGAACAAAACGGCCGGGCGCTGGCGCCCGAAAACCAGATGGAAAAGAAAAGCGGCATGCAAAACGAATGGCGCAATGTCTTGCTCGCGCCCTGAGCGGAAGTGGATGGTCAAGGCCAAGCGGGCGGGGAGAGTGCCACCGAGGAGGATGGGCGAGGCTCGGAAAAGACGGGCTGCGAGAGGAACAGGCCAGAGAACTACGTATACGCAAAACAGCGGGACAATAATGTCTCTTTTCACGGATGTGTCTAAGAGCGGAAGGTGTGTATCGAAAACGAGACGCATTAGAGCGGGTGCGGAAAGTTCACTTGAGCCAAACAGCCACAAGGGAGAAATTACCCCCCGTAGCCTGCATAGAATGAAGACCTACCGCTCGAGTCTGGTGTTCCAGCGGGTCCGTCGCGCCTCGGTAGTTTCCCCGGTTTTACAAGGAAAACCCCGAAACACAGCGGACGGAGTAAAACTAACCTGGTCCGGCCGGCAGCAAACAATTAGACGGAGCACACCCCTCAATGGGCACTGCCGCTCCAACCACATAGTGGACACAATCAGCACTCGCTTGGCATGCTGAATTGTCGTCAGCGCTCGTAATACAAATCTGCAAAAGCTTCACGGATGAAGGGCGGCTCCTTCGAAAGATGTGGCTTTCGCCTAAGCGCCGCGCACATTCGTTCGAAGAGCTTACAACAGTTCCAAAGATTATTATGGCTGACGTTCCAGCAAGGGTGTTTCGGCATGATGTAGAACTATAGGGCACAATAGTCACGTTGATTCGCAGTGTTGAAGTCCTAGGAAAGGTCCTCTGGCACGATCCAGGATCGTCAGGCCGCAACGGAAAGGTTGGTCTGTGGCGTAAAAGTCCGAGGTATGGTGTTTTGGCGCGGCTCAGGACTGTCAATCGGTTTTCTCAACAAGGCATTTTCCTCAGAAAAAATAACGTTTGTAGGGGCCTATGAGGAGGGAACTTGGAAGGAAGGATTAACTCAAGACCCCTCCCCCCCGCCTCCACCCTCCCGGACCCCCAGTCCACCACCCTCCCCTCCTCCCAAGCCACCACCACCACCACCACCACCACCACCACCACCCTCCCCTCCTCCCAGACCCCCCCCAGCAAAAGCACCCTCCTCAGTCTTCTCTGCTGTTGCGGGGTGCTGCGCGGTGTCCCACATGCCTCGAAGAGCCATCAGATCCGCCCCGACGTGGCTCCAAGTGGGAGTTCGCGCGCAGCTTAGAACGTGAGGGTTTAACTGGGGGGTGCCTAGGATGGGGGACTCTCTGCGGCCCATTTGGGCTCAAGTTTTTCTCTCGGGCCTCTGCGTCCGAGGCTCTGCGCGCTCGGGCGGCGGGGGCCGCACAGGGCGATTGCGGGGCTGCCTGAGGCGCGGCCCGGCGCAGGGCGGCGGCCCGGCCCCCAGCAGGGCGGCCCCGGGCGGCTGCTGGCTGGGGCCTCGGAGGCTGACGCTGGAGGGGTCCCCAGCCGCGCGCCCGGGGCCTGCGGCCTGGGCGCGGCAGTGGAACAGGAGGTCCACTCCAGCGAGGAGGAGGCCAGCCGGCGGGCACGCGCTGCCGCAGGAGCGGCGGAGACGGCCCTTGGATGATGGCCCTGTTGCCCATCCTCATCGGAGCCGTCGCGGCGGTGGAGATCGATCGGGTGGCGGTGGAAGATACCTGCGACGCCCGCTGTCTCTCCAGCCCCGCGTGTCATAGTCACAGTGAGCCCGCGGACGCAACGTGGGCAGCTGAGGGCGGAGGGGTAGCGTACCCTCCTCTGTTGCGGGCGTTGGAGGAGGACCAGCGGCGCCGCGGCACGGCGGCGGCGAAGGAGGAACTGCAGCGCCACCCACCCCCCCGGGCCTGGCCGCCAGGGCCGTCTGGGGGCAAGGGGCGGACATCCGCCCACGCGCCGCCACCGGGCAAAGCCGCGGGTGGCAAGGGGCGGTAGCCGCCCCTCCCGCCGACTCCCCCGCGGGTGGCACAGGTGCCACGCTGAGGAGGCAGGCGCCGCCCGGCGGAGAAGGAGCTCAGCCTTGGACTGGGTCATGGGGTGGGGCCGAGAGCCACCTGCCAAGCGCGAGTCGCGTGGTGCCAGGGGGGCCCCATCGCCGCCCAGTGAGGAGACGGAGGATGAGGAGGACAGTCGTCGTGGCTGGTTCGGCTTCGGCGGCGCGAAGGTCGGGATCAGCCAGCTGGGCAGGCCGTTCGCGGACCTGCCGATGTCAGAGCTCAGGTGGACTGACAGCCTGCTCAACGCAGGGCGGGTCGATGCGGAAGAGCGGGGGGCGCCCGAGGACGGAAGCGGCGCGGCCCGCGCACCACCTGCCGAAAGTCGCGGGCCATTGGCACCTGAGCGGACAGAGAGGCAGAGCCCCAGTGCACGGCACCGCGGGGCGCGGTGCCTGCGCCGACGCCGCGGGCGCGGGAGGCAGGAGCCTCGGAGGCACATCTGATCTACGACGCAAGGCGCCCGCCACCAGGGGTCAGAGCCCTGCCGGGCCAGGAGGTCTGGCAGCTCCGTGGAGGGGCCAGCGAGGGCCGGGGCCAGGCGCGTGCGCAGCTGGGTCAGGAGGCTGCCTTCTGGGGAGCGGCCAGGGCCTGCCTGCGCCGAGCCGCGGCCGCAGCGCTGGCAGCGGCGCGCACCCAGGCCGAGGCAGCCGCGGACGCGCGGGCGAGGGCGGCGGGGATCTGCCGCCGCCCAGAGGCTGACGAGAGGAGGAGGGAGCTCACCGCGCGGCTCCACGAGGATTCCCGGCGGAGGCTGGCATGGCCGGGATGGCTTCGCGACAAGCAGCTTCACGACAAGGAAGAGACAGATTCACGACAAGCAAACACTTTCGCAAACCACTTCCGCCGCCCACTTTCGCCGCCCACTTTCGCCACCCACGTTCGCCGCCCACTTTCGCCGCCCACGTTCGCCGCCCACGTTCGCCGCCCAATTTCGCCGCCCACTTTCGCCGCCCACTTTCACCACCCACTTTCGCCGCCCACGTTCGCCGCCCACTTTCGCCGCCCACTTTCGCCGCCCACGTTCGCCACCCACTTTCGCCGCCCACTTTCGCCGCCCACTTTCGCCACCCACTTTCGCCGCCCACTTTCGCCGCCCACTTTCGCAACCCACTTTCGCCGCCCACTTTCGCCGCCCACGTTCGCCGCCCACGTTCGCCGCCCAATTTCGCCGCCCACTTTCGCCGCCCACCACCCACTTTCGCCGCCCACGTTCCCACCACTTTCCCCGCCCACTTCACGCCGCCCCACTTTCGCCGCCCACGTTTTCTGCCACCCACGTTCGCCGCCTACCCCATTTTCGCCGCCCCGTCGCCGCCCACGTTCGCCGCCAATTTCGGCCCGCCACTTTTCGGTCCGCCCACTTTCACCAACCCACTTTCGCCCCACCCAGGTTCGCCCCCACATTCGCCGCCCACTTATCGCCGCCAGGAACGTTCGCCTCCCTCCTTCGCCGCCCACTTTCGCCGCCCACTTTCGCCACCCACTTTCGCCGCCCACTTTCGCCACCCATTCGTCGCCCACTTTCGCCGCCCACTTTGGCCACCCACTTTCGCCGCCCACTTTCGCCACCCACTTTCGCCGCCCACTTTCGCCGCCCACCTTCGCCGCCCACTTTCGCCACCCACGTTCGCCACCCAGGTTCGCCACCTTCTTTCGCCGCCCACTTTCGCCGCCCACTTTCGCCACCCACTTTCGCCGCCCACTTTCGCCACCCACTTTCGCCGCCCACTTTCGCCGCCCACGTTCGCCACCCACTTTCGCCGCCCACGCTCGCCACCCACATTCGCCGCTCACTTTCGCCACCCACTTTCGCCACCCAATTTCGCCGCCCACTTTCGCCACCCACTTTCGCCGCCCACGTTCGCCGCCCACTTTCGCCACCCACTTTCGCCGCCCACTTTCCGCGCCCATTTTCGCCGCCCACTTTCGCCACCCACGATCGCCGCCCACGTTCGCCGCCCAATTTCGGCCGCCCACTTTCGCCGCCCACTTCACCACCCACTTTCGCCGCCACGATTCGCCGCCCACTTTCGCCCGACCACGTTTCGCCGCCCACGGTCGCCACCCACTTTCGCCGCCCACTTTCGCCGCCCACTTTTTCGCCACCCACTTTCGCCGCCCACTTCGCCGCCCACTTTCGCAACCCACTTTTTCGCCGCCCACTTTCGCCCCCTCTTCGCCGCCACTTCCGCCGCCCACTTTCGCCGCCCACTTTCGCCACCACTTTCGCCGCCCACTTTCGCCGCCCACTTTCGCCGTCCACTTTCGCCGCCCACTTTCGCCGCCCACGTTCGCCGCCCACTTTCGCCGCCCACTTTCGCCGCCCACTTTCGCCGCCCATTTTCGGCGCCCACGTTCGCCGCCCACTTTCGCCGCCCACTTTCGCCGCCCACGTTCGCCGCCCACGTTCGCCGCCCACGTTCGCCGCCCACGTTCGCCGCCCACGTTCGCCGCCCACGTTCGCCGCCCACTTTCGCCGCTCACTTTCGCCGCCCACTTTCGCCGCCAACTTTCGCCGCCGACGTTCGCCGCCCACTTTCGCCGCCCACTTTCGCCACCCACTTTCGCTGCCCACTTTCGCCACCCACTTTCGGCGCCCACTTTCGGCGCCCACTTTCGGCGCCCACTTTCGCCACCAACTTTCGCCACCCGCTTTCGCCGCCCACGTTCGGCGCCCACTTTCGCGCGCCCACGTTCGCCGCCCTTTCGCCGCCCACTTAAACTTTCGCCCCCCACTTCGCCGCCCACTTTGCGCCGCCCACTTTTCGCCACCCACTTCGCTCCACCACACGTTCGCCGCCCAACTTCATTTCGCCGCCCATTTCGCC